TGATTCACCCATATGATGATTACAATAAATTTTATTCCGTAATACATAAGTTCTTGACAGTTGGGCATCCCTGATCGAATCGATAAGCTGAACCGGCATTAACAGTTACCAACAATTGCTAATATTTGTTTGCTCGCCTAGAATTCATGAACCGGACTCGCTTATTTCCGACAATCAATTCATAGACAAGGTTATTCTAGTCATTGTCGTTAGGGTTAAGTTAGAATTAGAGTTAAGGTTAGTGTAATTTATAAAAAAAAACTTGGTGAATGAGCTGTTGGTGAAATAAATAGTGGTGAAATGAACTTGTCGGTGAAATAAGTGTCGGTAAAATAAATATGTCGGCGAATTGATTGTCGGTGAAGTGTTGTGACTACGAAATGAATGTCAGTGAAGTGATACGATTTTATTTCATCGAATACAGGGGCTTCGAAAATTTGGAATTTTATTTGGTTGAACATAAATCCAATTCGAATTATAATTCGAACGATTGATTGGCTAAATTTAAATTTCGCATTTCGCATAACGATAATGAATTTTTGGTCAAATTGTTTATCAGATCGCTTCAATTATGATTGAGCAACATCCCATCAAAGGTTAGGAAGGTTTACAATAAGTTTGTATCGGAATTTAAAAAAATTTAAAATTTTATATTTAAATTCATTAAATATAAAAATTGAATTTTTCAAAATCAAATCTTAGAATATTAAAAATGACTACTTAAAGGCTTTACATACACTATATTAGATCTATCAAAAACACTTGCAAATAAACATTCCAACGATGTTAATTGCAAATCGGATTTTATTCTATTATAAAAAGCGATTATTTAAAGAGCAATAGATTACATTAAAGTTTTTTTTTCGTATTAAAAGGAAAAAACCTTGATCTATGATTTGCAAACTTGAAAGGACACAACACCAAGCAAGAAGAGGGGATTTATTGAATATGCAAGCGAAGCTTTGCAAAGTGTTTCAGATAACATTTCTGACTTTATTGTAAAAATTTGTGACTGTTGATTCGGTTGCTTTTTTTTTTTTAAAAAAAAAAAGTTAGAATTTACTAGTAATATCGGACAACAGACAAAAAAAAACTTACAAGAGGAAAGGTATAGTAAGTAATGTTAGATACTACTCCCATTATCGCTAATGTAATATCTACGCCTGTTATTATTAAAAAACGTAAATTTTTTAATCAAATTTCTTCAAAATTAATACAAAATCGAATAAACATTTGAACATTGTTACCGGAAGTGTCTGGTACATTATTCCAGCTAGCAGTAACGTCTTGACCAACATTATAACATCTCGCATCCGGAGATAATTGTATATTCACAAGCACTGGTTGTGATTGTGGAATTGGGATAGGGTATGTATATACAAATGCGACAAGTATTGAGAGAAAAATGTAAAATTGGACCGATATGTCAAAGCATTTCATTTGTTAAATTGTCAAAAGGGGTAAAGTTATTTCAATCTATCTACGTAGTGTATTTTTATAAGGTGGTTCTCGGAAATATCATTTTATAGATTTGTTAAATGTAACAAACACAAGGCGTTAATTATTCCACTTATGTATGTACGTACGTATGTAAATCCTTAACATTACTATTAATATCCACAGGCACGTACACAGGCACAGACACATAGCACGTATACACCAACGTGTTCACTACAGTTTTAGAAAGGCAAGAATAATTGACATTCATTTTGGATATGAATATTTTAGGAATTTATTCAGCTAAGGTCGTGGCTTTCGAACAATTTGAAAAACTCGTTTTAAGATTTTGAAAATCGTCACGTACGTACGTACGTAATAAATTGAGATTCGAATTTATTAATTTAATAATAGAACGTCTTTATTCCGGAGTAATTCTATTTATATTCATTAAATAGAAGAACGTCTTCATTCCGGAGTAATTCTGTTTATATTCATCTATTTATGTTCATCTATTTATACTCATCTAATTATAATCATCTCATGTGCATTGCATATTATCGTTATGGGCTTAAAAAAACGAATTTTTGGAGGCCCGTTTCGGCCTGTAACATAACCATAACTTAATCTAATATGGCCCGCTTTTATTACATTTCAATAAGCCTAGCTGCCTTTTTTAGGTTCGACCCGCCCAGACGGACCCTAGTACAGACCTCAAAATAGTATATACATATCGATATTAAGACAGACGCGCGGAAATTAGGATATATAGAACGGTACGTATGGTTTATAAGTATGTATGGTTCATAAAGAGAAATTTCGTTCAATCCAGCGCTAGCACGAACTAACACGAAAAAAGACTATTTTAGTAATTACCTAGTTTTAACAGTATACTTGGAGGTTGGATTCTACAAGCTTTATCAACCATACGTATTATCATGTTTCGTGAATCAGCGCTACCGTACAGTAATACTTAATACTTCTTCATAATCTTGTAATAATTACGCACTGCCCGTAAAATTACGTGATTAAAGACCATAACGTTATGATCGAGGCTGTGAAAATTTCATTTACCATTATCGTTAATCGTTATAACGTTGAGGCTTTTGTAATCGTACGATAAATTATGGATCGAATGATAATTTACGGCAAGATTACACAAACGCGAACTAACGAACTTTCTTATTACGCGTGGCAATGTATCGAGAAAAAGCCGTGTATCTGGCTCAGATTAACTAACGTAGGGAAGAGAAAACGTGTGATTTTCTCTAATGAATTGTTAGAATAATCGTTAAAGCCCCCTTCCTTAAAACGGATTTCAAGGGTTTGAGGGATACAATAGAATGTATACTGTAGGTATTATTATACTAGAAAATGGAAATGAAGAGGTATTCAGTAAAGTAGATCGTACGTACGGCTAATTTTCATCGGTAACCATTTTTAATGGTATATAATAAAGTAGTACGGTACGGCAGTGCAGATTAGGACGGACATGTAGAATCAAGATAGTATGTACAGTTTGTAAAAGAAAACCAAAGTTACTTTTTTTACTAACCCAACATGAAATAGTACAATACTAACCCTAACCCCTAACCATTAAAAATGGTTACTTATAAAAATTGAATTTTGCAAGTCTATATTAACCGTACGTACTATCAAAATTTAATATGTCTGTCCAAATCTGTACTGGTGTACACCGTACGTAGGCACTACTTCCCTTTTGAATGCCCCATGCAAAATACCCTGGCGCAAAACACAAGATTTTTATTAATTAAAGGCGGGTTTTTTAAATTTCTAGGCTACTGATTATAAATGTGGAATAATGCATGTACGTACGTACGTACTTGAAAATTTTGTAAGTTTTTTTTGGTGGGTATTTTGTATTAGACCCAATTCTTTTGGGCAGTGCTCTACGGTACTACTTTACTGAATACCTTTTTTCGTTGGAGTTGGTAGTAAAAGTAACTTTATAAACCGTACGTACTACGTACCATGATTTTTACACATCTGTCTTAATTTGCGTACTACTTTACTATTATACCCTTGTATTGGTTGTACGTACGTACGTACGTGTTTAGTGTCGCACTGCGTGAAAGTTGAAACTATGACAATGACATTCACTGATAGTGCGTACCCTCTTTCTTTGGTCTTTACGTACACACGCATGCATGTACTTTCATTTAAATGAACATACCGGATATATTTTTTTACGATATATTAAAAAAAAAAAAAAAAAAAAAAAAAAAAGGTACGTACGTACGTACGTATACGTTTCGTACAGTATATTATTAATTCAACCTAAAATTTATTTCAATTATTCAACCTAAAATTTATTTCTACGTAATTAATTTAATTTACTAAATACAGTATTTATTTGACAAATGACAAAATAAACCAATATTCTACTATAGATAAGAATTTTTTAATTATCTAATTATATTTCTTAATATAATATCTTACTATATAGGATATAACATATTTAAGATGAATAAACAATTCATCTCCAATTAATAGTAACCTCTGATTTATTATCAATTGAAACAATAATTTCTTCAATATCCTTTCTTTTTTCCAATGAAAACGTTTTAATAATTTGTTCATGTTTAACATCGTAATTTTTAAGCAATAAAACTACTTGTTTTAAATTAAAACAACATTTCTCAAAAAATATTTTCAACCATTCATCTGAAAAAAATAACCCTGTAACATCAAAGAAATGTAATTTGTTGGGTAATATTAAGTTTTCAATATATTTTCCTCCATCCAATTGAATTCCTCCCCAATCCTCCGCTATACGAAGAATTCTAAGTTTATTCAAAGCTGGTAAAATCTTTAAAATCGTTTTCATGGTTTCTTCATATGTTTCATTTATTTTCAATGTTAATTCGGTTAAACCTGCACAATAATTCGGAATAAATTCGAGTAGCTTATCATATTTATCTCCAATAAAAGGTTCCAAATCTAAACTAATTAATTTGGAATGTTTCATCATCTGTTCAATTAAATGAACCAGTGATTTTTCGGAATATTGATTAGCCATTCTAACATCAAATAGTTCTAAAGATACTAGCTTAGAAAATTTTATGTCTATCGAAAAATTATCATAGTCGTTTACCGTGAATTCAACATTTCGTAAATTTAATCTTTCTAAATTACTATGGCGTG